TTTGGGTTTTTCCCAGGTACAGTAGCCCTTGGCCGGTGGCTTTCTTATACTATGGTCCTGACCATTTTCCTTATTCTCCTTACATTCATCCTTTCAGAGTCCTTTCCTTTTGCACCATGCACATTAATCTTTTTCTAGCCTTGGCCAGCTCTTATATCCCTGTCCAGACTGGCCTTTATCACGAATGCACCCACACCTCCTTGCAAAGTAAGTTTCCCTTCCTGTGCAGGCTGCTGCTAGCAAATCTGCCTTTCCTTAAGCTTCCAATTAGCTTCCTTCTTTGCCTCCTGATCTCTTTGCCTCCTGATCTCGGTTAATATACACCTTCGTAGCCAGTTTAATAAGTGAGTAGCACTCACGCCTGTGGAGCTTCTAATTTCTGCAATTTATGCCTGGTATTTCCCTGGGCCTGCCCTACAAATGCCATATTTACCATGTACTGTTTTTCAGCAGCCTCAGGGTCAAATGGCATATAAAGCCGGTAAGCCTCGCAGAGTCTCTTCACTGGGACTTTCATCTGGCCTCTGGCTGACCTCAGACCTTTCTGATATTGGTGGCCTTTTTCCCTCCAGCCTTTATTCCATTTAGGAGTGCCTCTCAATACCGCTGCAAACTTTGTAGTCCTTGAGCCTGGTTAGGGTCCCAGCCTGGGTCAGCCTCTATCAGGAGTACTCTTTGGGCATACTGCTTGATATCTCCTGTGCCTGCAGGCGCATTGTTCTCCAGCCTCTGGAAAGCGGCTTGTATAACTCTTCGGTGCTCTACCGTATTAAATAATGACAGAGTTGTTTGCAATCAGCCCAGGTAGGATTGTGAGTTAGGAAAATGGGCTGCATTAGATCTACAAGAGCCTGAGGCTTTTCTGTATAGGAGGGAGTATGTTGTCTCCAATTTCAGAGATCAGTAGTAGAGAAGGGCTGATAAATGAAGAGCCATTCTCCCCCTTGGACTTTATTCTGTGCATTCAAATAAATGTGTCCCCATGTTTCTCAGAGGGGCATCTGCATTGCTCGGGCACGACCTGACCTAAAGTGGCCAACCTCATCCCCCTGGAATTCCTCCTTTGGCTTTTCAGGCAATGGCTCTGACTTCTCTCTGTGTGGTGTTGCCTGAGGGATGCTTTCTTCTGAGTCTGAGCCTCCAGAGGCAGCTGGGGCAGCCTCCTGTCTAAGCCGTGCCAGGGATGGATAAATTGGTGCATACGGGGGTGGACTTTCTAAGTCTTCAGGTGGGGCCTGTAGGACAGGTTTTTTCTGCTTTTCCTGTGACTCCTTTTCTTTTTCTGATGCCTTGCAGTCTTTTTCTATGGTTCCTGGTTTTGTCCAGGCCATTTCAGTAGGCCTCAAAGCAGGTCTGCAGCCACTGAGGGTGGGTCTGAATTACATTTAGCCAGGAGTCTATATACAGGAACTGATCTGGGTGCCTGAGCTGTTCTCCAAGCCCGGTGACCACCTGAAACACTCAGCCAATTATCTCCTTGTCTATTGTCCCCTCGGCTGGCCACCCTACATTAAAAGACAGCTGGTTTATCTCACAAAGGGTTCTCGGTTTCTGTGGAGTTAGCTTAACCCTGTAATCACCATTAAAACCTTTTTAAAAGTTTTTCAGCATGCACTCCAGTGGAGTAGGCTTTGATGCTTTTCCTCCCATTTCCTCCCTCATGGCATGCCTTCACTCTCACTTTCACTCTTGGATCCACCAGACTGGGTCCTATCACGGGAGATTCGGATGCTGCTTAGCCAGGAAAGTGCCTTAATTCCTGTTACAGCTAACTGCAGCCATGGCGGATACTGCTTAGCCAGGAGACTGCCTTAATTCCTGTTACAGCTAGCTGCAGCCAGAGCTGGTCCTATGGGCTGTATGCAGTGTTCTAGTTCTGGTTTTTCCCACACTTGCCTCAGAGCACACAGTCCACGCTAGGAGATCTGTGCCTCCCCACGTCATGCCCTGCGTTGGTCTCTCCTGAGTGTCTCTTTCACACACTTTCACACACCTCCCCTGTCCCTGGACTGGTTTTCCTTTCTGACAAACTTGCGAGCCCCACCCGCATCTGATGTCGGTTAGGGTATGAGTTTCGTCAGAATCAATGGGACTCTCCCATTGTCCCAGTCCCCTTGGGTCAGACTAGTCATCATGTCCTGGGAGGTGATCAGGCTCCCCTTCTGTCCTTATGGGACGGGTCTTGCATTAGGACCCAAACCTTAACGTGGTTCAGATGTCTGCGCACTGCTCCTGTGACTGTCCTGCAACCCTTTCCACCGGTTCCATTTGTGCTGTTGGGGGAAGGCCCCAGAATGTGGGAGGGCAGTTCTCTTTCCGGACTGAAACTCTCGTGGGGGCACCAAGGACCCCAGATTTCCAGTGTCCTGGGGCTCTAGTCCACAGGCAAAGGAGAGAAAATCTGCCGTCTCCAATCCCAGACGAGCTCCCAGAAATGTTACAGACAATCAAAGACTGGAGAGACGGAAAACGGTTCAGGAGAGTCTGTTAAGGTGATCACTGGCCCAGCTGGACATATGTCCAGAAAGTCTGAGCCCCGAACAAAGGGTTTTTCTTACTTTTAAACATCTTAAGGCAGGAACTATGTGAGGCAGGAAGCAAGTTACAAAAGCGAGAAACAAAGGCAGTTAATCAAGCGTTACAACTTTTCTTACATCTTGAGAAAAACATATCTTGCAACCCAAACTTATCGGTCTTATGACTGCAGCCGTGCAGGAGCTTGCTGGCCTGTAATAAACTTGAGGAATTTGGAGTTGGGGAGTATAGTTTAGGTTCACTGTCCACAGAGACAAGACAGGCTGTTAATATTCTCCTTTAACTTGAGTGTAAGAGGGGGTGGTCACACTTTGCAGCAACTTTAAGAGGATTTAAAAATTTCTATTACTACTACTATTAGTTTGTAGTTGATTTCATTAATTCCTTCTTCAAATTCTAGGGAGTCTGATCCCAGAGTTAATGGTGAATGATTACAAAGCTTATATAATATCTCGCATATGGTTGTTTATATTTTCCAATAAAGTTATATGCGGTGAATAATTATAACAAGTATTTCTGGAAAAAACAATTGAGAATACTGATATATAGGGTCCATATAAATAATGAGAGAATTTTAATAGCATACCCCACATTGGCTGAAACTTTCTCACTACAGCCTATGGTGCCCCATTCAACATTCTATAAACTAAAGATGACAGGGAGAATCTTGTTTAATCTGTATGGGAACTTGAAGGATGCATTAAATATGAAAAATATGCAGCCTTCCTTAAAGACAAGTAGTAAATGTTTCCATTATTCATTTATTCTACTACTTAATCAATAATGTTAACAATTAAAGGTGGGAGCATTAAAAAAAGGAAAAGTGGAGTGAGGCGGTGAACCTCACTGATTTCTTGCTTTTATCATTTCAAACTCCAAAAGTGTATTTCAACTATTCATACGATGATTGACTAAACTTGTTTTACCTTATGGAACACCCTTACTGTGTAGAGCTGTGAGAAATTCAATAATCATTATTTAATGTGGACAACAACAGATCAGAGAAACAATAAACATGGACATATCTACACATAATATACACTCCTTTTCTATCCAAAAATCTGACAAAAACCTTACACAATGATCAGTTAACACCATTTTAAGGACAAGGATGTGGCGAAACAATTTTAAAGATTTTTGTAAAATAAAAGAAAAAAGTTGTTTAATGGCTAATGATCAAGTTTTAACCAAGAATTTACATATACATCATCAAAACAGTAGCTTGAAACTGAAGCTTGATCCTTGAGAAATAAAGCTTTTAAAGTAGATGTCTAAATTCTCTTTTCTTTATTATGTTACATTTCATTTACTTTAGGTTTTCTAGTGCAATTTAAATAAGAAATAAATAGAGAATATGGTAATCTCCTTAGATCAGGTACAAAGGCTGTGAAAATATTCCCTGCATTTTGCACAGGGAATATGTTCAAATTTCTAATCTGCAAAGAAAAGTGCATTATCTTTTTTGAAATGGCATTTGAAGATCTCTGCATCAGTGAACATTCTTGAGCATATGGATTTTATAATAACAGCAGTGTACATTAGTTTTTTTATTTATCACTAACTGATAACATATACAGTAAAATATAATTTCCGTTTTCTTATCTAAGGGCAGAAAATCCCAATCTATTTCTGAATCTCACTTTTGAACAAGGAAAGAACGACCCGACATGGCATTTTTGATTTCCAACGTTTAAACACATAACGTTTGTGTGTTGTGGCAGCATCTTAGCTTCTGGAATTTACGCTCGACATGAAACATAAACAATAAACAATTCAGTTCATGTTATATATAACATTATATATAATATAAAAATTATATATATTATATATAATATCTCACACACGCACACTCTTAGACTTTCTCAGTTTTCATGAATCTCACAATCTACTTCAGGCGCTCAAAGGCGCTCAAAGGTCTGAGGCGCCATAGAGAGGCTGCTCCAGCAAGCCTTGGGCACAGTTGCTTGCTGGACAAGACGCCAACTTGGCAAGGTTATGCCTCTGGCAAAGGCAGATTTGTCAGAATAAAGTCGCCACAGGCTCAACCAGGCAAAGCATGAATGGCCCTTTCAGCAGGAGCCTGAGAGGAGGGATGTTATTCAGTCCAGCAACCCTGTTTACTTTTTTTCGGTATCCCCAAACTCCCGTTTTTTAAGGCTTTCCGCTTCAAGAGAGCCAGAATTGAAGCCTGGGTTGGCGGCAGTGCAGGCACCTGCTCACCTAAGCATCACCCTCTTCATTTTCCAGACTCCTCCATCCGCTTGCCCAAGTATAACTTTTGAATAGATTCAGCAGGAGTGAGGCAGGAAAGGTAGGAAGGTGAGAAAACACGCGATATCAACTCGCAAAGCTCACTGAACTGCCTTGATGATAAAAGGCGGGCACAGGGACTACGTGGGTGGTGGCGGAAAGGGCGCGGGACACGCCTCGCAGAGAGAACAGTGGGCGGGGCCACGTGCCGGTATCAGAGTTCGCAACTGGAGCGCTCAGTGGGCTAGCTAAAAGTCCCAGCCTGCAAGCCAACCTCGCTCAGCGGGCGACTGGCCGGATCCCAGCGCTCTGCCCCTCGCCCAGCCTGCGAGCGCGTGGTACGAAGGCGCGTCTGCATCCATGCCCCAGCCGGGGGAGCTGGAGGCGCTCGCAGTCCGAGGCGAGTGATGCTAGGCTGAGCGCGTGGCGGCCCGTGTCGTGCCCCGCTGAGCCAAGTGCGGAAGGACAGCGGCGCGCTCCAGCTCTGCTTGCCGCGCGTAGGGCGGGGCGCGGCTGGGGGGCGGGGGGCCTGGCCGCCCGCGGGGAGCTGTGGACGAGCAGGCGCGCTGCGGACCCGAGGGAGGACACGGTTAAAGCATTGCTATCAACTGTGAACGGGAGAGCGCTCCTTAGTGAACACGCTAACTCTGAAGCCTCCCTTACGCCCCCGAACCACCGAAGGCGGCGACACTTGATTCAGCGCACAAACACGGGTCCCTTCTGTCCCGGATACAATTACGCGGCAGAGACACACTTAAACTCGCGCGGGGCAGCCAAGAGACGAGGTGAGCTGAGGGAACACGCCGTTCCAGCGGGCGGAAGAGGGGCGGGCTGGGTGGAGGAGAGGGGCGTTGTTTGCTCCCTGAGGTGAGTGCCGGGCGAATGGCTGCTGTCCAGGGGCGGGGGTTGGGGGGTAGGAATTAGAAAGCACAGATGGGGTTGGGCTGAGGAAGTTAGGAGTGGATAGTGGGGGCTGGCGGGGTAGGGAGAAAGGCTAGGGGTTGAGGGGATGTGAAGGAGATCTTTTTAAGCTGGCCCCTGATAGCGCCCGCAATCCTGTTTCTCCCATATGGCATCCGTTTGAAGGTTCTCTCGCGTATGTGCGCTCAAGGCAGAGGGTGGGTATAACAGGGAGGCGATTCGGCCGAGGGCCTTGTACTTGACCCCTGAAGGGATGGGCACCGCGGCGCCCAGAGGCCGGAGCCAGCTGCCACGGCAGGGATAGAGATGGGGGAGCAGGAGGAGCTTCGGGACCTCTTTAACTCCCCCTTACTCGTGCCCCTAAGGAGGAACAAGAGCGGGATGTGTTGGGGGTGGTGAATGTCTCAGGGCTGTACAAGCTCGCTGAGACCTTTCGGGGCCCGCCGTTTCCGCGTGCCCTCGCGACCCTCGACAATGGACAGTGTACAGTGGTGGCGGGGTTTCACGGGTCCCCGCGCCGCTCTGGGAATGGTACGGGGTGCCCTTGTATTAGAGAAGCTTGTGTGGGCCCCCGGGATTAGAGATGAGGTGAGCGCCTGCGGGCGGGGAGAGAAGGACGCGCTGCTGGCAAAAAGAAGGGCGCCTTCCACGGACTGGAGGAGCGGCGAGGGAGCTTGGCATGTGTGTTTTGGATTTGAAGGAGGCAAACCGCATCGGAGAGTGCAAGTAGATGCAGTGCGTCGGGGCAGAAGGACAATCCGAGGAGGCGGGCGGGGTACCCACTCTCTATATGCAAACTCACTGGTTTAATTGAGGATTTATAAAATTGAGTACGGTAAACGTGCCATTGTGCAGCACTCCCTTAGGAAAGGAATAGCCTCTGTACCTGTACCGCGAGTTCCCATCACCTTTCAGCATCTAGGCGGGGAGAGGAGAGAAGGTAGAGAACTTCTGAGAGCGTCCTGAGAACTAATGTGAATGGCTGGATTAGTGACTAGGCGTTCTCAGCGGAGAATGTCGCCAAGGGAAGGAGTGGGTGGCTGTATCAAACCAGGCATGCTCTGGAGAATCACCTTTATTATTGAGCCAGTGTTAACAGTGACGATAGAATCTTTTATTTCTGGTGGGTCCTATTGGTAAAAATTAGAAAAAAAACCCACACTACTCCAAATACTCCAAAAATCTTCAGTCCCCTCAGGCTGTCACCTTGTACTACCAGTTTTTCAGGATCAGTATCCTGAATGTTAGCAGTTTGGCTAGATGCCAAGTTGTTATAATTTCTGATAATTGCATGTTCAAAAACGTCTATATTCATTCAGAATTGGCGTGCTTCTGACGTATCCCCAGAAAAAAATTTGGAGGAAGGACAGACAGTGTCTTTTTTTCTGTTCTTTTTGAAAAACTTTTATTTTAGGTTTTGGGGTTGTTACATAGGTAAACACATGTCACGGGGGTTTGTTGTACACATTATTTCATCACTCAGTTATTAAGCCCAATACCCAATAGTTATCTTTAACCAATATTTTAATAGTGTTAAGAGTAACCACACTTTGTCCCCAGGAGATTTTAAAGAGTCGTGCATCTCAATGTTATATAGTAAAGGAGACCAGAAGTTTGTGTTAATTGAATTAAATCTTAGCCAGCTTAGTTTTCTCCTATAGAAACTATCTCTTGGTGTTTTGAGGTTTTGCTTTAGGAATGTGTCTGTGTTCAGCAACTATTCTAGATAATGCCAGATAAAAACACTCTAGTATTGTATGATTTGCCTGCCACCTACAAGGTTAAGTTGACATCTAGTGTTGTGTGGCTTAGTATTATACGAGTCTTTATAAACTACAGTAAATCATAGTGCCCTGATATTTAGTAAAAGCTTGATTCTCTATTAGGGGGTTGGGCATAACTGAGCCGAAACTATACTTCTGACTTTTTCCAGGTAATACTACTATACAGATTCAAACTCTTTTTAAATCTAAGATTTCCAGAGGACTGTGCTTGTATTTAAGCTTGGTACGCATCTTAGAATAAATAAGCCAATGTAGTAAATAAAGATACTTATCACAATTTTTTTTGGATAAAAACTACTTTTTGTTTAAAGATTTTGACCGTTTACATTTCCCAATAATTTAAATTAAAACATTTTATTGCAACTTATGAACAACTGTCAGTTTCATTACCGTTTAAACATTGCTGAAAATCCCACCTTCAATCCTCAAATCCTTTTTAAAATCATGCTCCTGTTTATCAAATAATATCAATTTGCTGCTTTTTAATTCATGCTAGGATTTTCCAACATACACCTGAGAATTTCTAAGATACACTTGGAGAGTGAGGACTTTTGATTATTTATGCAAGGTATCCCATTTATTTGACATCATCTGCAATGGTACTTATTTACATAAGCACATTTTCTAGGTAGCTGAGTCTTCGCACCATTAATTACTGAAACTTAAAAAAAAAATGAGCCATTGTAACCCACAAGCAATTTCTAAATCTTACTGTCTTCCTTGTTCCCTTGGAGAATATTGGATGTAAGTTATTCTTTCTTTTTGGGTTGTCTTTATGAATTCATAAAGAATTGAATAGTGCTATTTGCTGAGGTGTATAGAGCTGTTTTTGTTTATAGTAAATGGTCTCAGCCTGCTGGGTTGAAATACTAGAATGGAGACAGAAGTACCATTCTTCTTTTTATGTTTTTTTTTTTTTTTTTTTTTTCTGGGTCCTTTTTCTGTTATCGGCTATCACTTTCTGCTGCTGTCAGACCGTGAGCGGGCCCTGCTGCTATATTATCTGTTGTCTTTTGTTTTCCATTAAATGATGTGGGCTATTGCCTAAGTATAAATCCTGTAGACTTTGTGACAGATACTTTCTGTTCACGTGCTTTATTTGTGGTTTGAACTGAGAACTGAAATGTTTAGGTTTCCAGAAGGGTGGCCTCTATATAAAAGGTTTTAATGTATTTTTTATAGAAAAATTTGTGTATGAGATCTTTAGGAGGGTGTCTTAATTTCAGACAGTTAAGTCTTCTGGAAAAGCTTGATGTTTCTGAGAAACTGAAGCAGCCCTTAAAAAAAGTTTACTTTTTTATGATAGGCTCAGATTGTCTTTGTTTAGGAACATGTATACTAGGGTATTTTACATATTACTGTCTACCATTGAAACTTACTAACCATAATGTAGTGTAGTTAATATTTTTCTACCCTGGAAGTCTGGAATAAGAAGTATTATTTGAGAACCCTGCTACTTGAGGCTACGTGAATTATTTAAATATTATTTTGCAAATTTACTTATGGAGGAGGTACATAGTAAAATAAATATGATTAAAATGGTTTAATTTGGTCTTGAAAACAGCGGTAATCATATCTCCTTAATCTGAAGCATTTCACAAACATTCATTCTTTTATTCAATAAATATTTGTTAAACGCATACTATGTGCCAAGCACTGTGCTCTGGGGATGTGCATACAGTTAAGGCCCTGGGAGAGCTCTAGGCTTAAAAGGGGGAGATAAGAAGGAAACAGGCTATTTTCAATATCTACAGTATAATGCTGGCTGTTCAGTAAGTGCCGTGATAGAGATATACACACAGTACCCTGAGCAGAAAGTTGGAAATGGTCAATTCTGTGTGGGAACGGGAGATTCGAGGGTTTCTTAGAAGGTGACATAAAAAATGAATCACTGGAGGCAGGAGCAAGATCGTGGAGGGCTGTTTGCCATCCTCAGGAGTATGAACTATTTTCAGTTCAAGGTTGTTTTAAACTAAGGAGTGATGTGATGAGAAAACAGCTCTTACAGCAATCTAGAAGGAGGGATCTGAGGAACGTGAGATTTGAATAGTAGTTTAGAAGGTATTGCGGTGGCCTTGGTAAGAGAGTTTGAGGTCCTTGTACCAAAGTGTTTGCAGTGGGATGAAGAAAAGGGTTTGGTTACAATGATATTCAGGTGGTAGAACCTCTAAGATTAGGTGACCGATTTGGTGGAGGATTGGGAGTGGATGGTATAGGAGGATGGGATAGGAACTTAAAAGGAGGTCCAGATTTGAGAGCAAGAGTGATAGAGTTCAGTTTTAGACATGTAGAACATGAAGCGCTTATAGAAAATCGAACTGGAGATGTTTGTCCAATGAATCATTGCATGTGAGTTCTGAGCAGCGAGGTCCTGGGCTAAATAGACAGGTAGATAAATGGTGGGTAGATAAAAGGATAGACACACAGAAACATTTAGGATTTTTCAGTGTATAGGTAATTATAAACCATGAAAGTTGATAGGTTTTCCAGGGCAAGTACCAAAAGTTAATAGGGAAACACAGGCCTGGGGAGATCCTAAAATTTAATAGTTGGGTAGAGAAATAGGGAGCAATAAAGAAAAATGAGAAGGTACAGAACAAGAGAAGCAAGAGGAGAATTAGGGGGGTGTAACTTTTAAAGCAGCTGAAAAATGAGAAAATTTCAGAAAGTGAGAAGGTCAGGTACTGAAATGAGGGGTATTAGACAGTCTCGGTTCACGCCCCGTCCCAAGCCCCGAATAGCTCTGTGACCTTGAGCTCACAATTTAGTTTCATTTCCTCATTTTCCAAATGGGGTGAGAAGCACCTACATTATAGGGCTACTGCGAGGATCGAATGAGATAAAAGCTGTCAATCACAATGCCTGGGAGGTTACTGGTTTGTGTTTAACAAATGCTAACTGTTTTATGGAAACCAGGACTTGAATTTGTGTCTAGAAGGTCCATAGTCATTTTTGTTTTCACAAGTACTCGCTCTCAGAATTCACGGAGAGTGATTGAAAATATATGTTTAAGATGAAAACTTGATCATACTTTTAACTTTTTGGGTTAGAAGCCAGTAGAATAGCAGCCATTGAAAATT